GTAGAGTGTTGAAGGTAAAGAGAGGAATAGGGGGGTCCTGGAAAGTGCCTGACACAAGAAAACTAAAAGATGGTTGCCACAGGAATGTTTAAGCAAGTCGAAACCCAGGGGGGAGGGGGTGGGAGGGGAAGGGGAAAGGAAAAGAAGGGGTTAAAGAAGAAACAGTGAGATGTGGAATCACACAATGGAGGTCTTGGAGCAGGTTACCTATATGGATGAGTGCACATGAGGTGGATCTTAAAAGTTTGAAACACATATGTTTTAGCCTTGCCTGTATTCTTATCAGTTTTTTTGTTCTATTTTTCTTATTCTATTTTTTTATTTCTTTTTGTATTACTCATTCTCTGTTATGGTACTGACCCAGCTTGCCTTCGCACTAGCCATCTTCATTTTCTCTTCAATGCTAATCATTTGTAATTTTTTTTAAAAAAAAAACAACAACAACAACGTATATTACATGTAGTATTAAGTTATAGTGATATTATACAATGTTCCTTTGGTTTATGGTCGAATGTGTAGAACACTAATAATCAGTTGAATTGTACTCTGACTTAAAGTGTAACATTGTGTAGTTTTTTTATAATCTCAAAAATGGAGAATTATGCATTCTTAATATGTGCTTGTTTGAGCATAAAATATGTCAGTGTCACAAATGTTCTAAAGAGGGATATGGGTGAAATTGAGGGTGGGTCGGGGATAAATCTAGAGACAAGTGTTTTATATACAGTATCACTGGTAGGTTAACTATTTTGTATGCTATCATTGGATGTCTGATAGAAAAGTCTAACGCTATCATTGGTGGTCTAATAAAACCCAGTTTTATGTGCTATCAAGGGTAGCTAGGTTGACGAACAGTTGTAGTCCTGCTGTGCTTATTTTGGAGACGAGGTTATGACACGGCTGAACAATAAAATGGCATTTTATTTCATTTAGTCTCTGTCCTGTGTCGTCTGTTCTTGCAGAATTAAATTCATGTTGTCACGTTTGGAGTTAAAAAATGGATGGTTAACGTTCAACTTACAGCTGGTGGCCTCACTGAAAAGACACCAGTTGGATACGCAGACACAATCAACCCTGTCAACAGTTTATCTGCAAGTGAAATGGACAGTAAATACTTAGGCTTTGAAACAGCAGTCCAAATTAAAATCCAGGCAGATTTAAACTACAATTTTGATTTTGCCAAGACCAAATAATAATTGAGAGTGTGACAAATATATAGTGGGGTGTGACACATTGCAAGGTGTTAATCTGATATAATCTCCAAACTTCACCATGTGTGTGAACCTCACATTCTTTAGCGCTGTAACCATCAAAGGGTCACACCAACGTTTTCACTCAGATACATATGAAGAGGTGTGATACATCTTTTGTCATGTTTAACAGTCACACGAGACTGGTACAGATACTACATATATATGAATGATTTTAATTTGGTCAAAGTCAAATCTTAAAATTCTGATTTCATTCAGATTTTTAATTTGGTGTGGTCATAGTTTAAACCTGCCTAGGCAGGCTTACAATCTCAAATTTGTTACAAGGATGATTTCAGTTTGGTTGAGATCAGCTGTCGGCAACCTGCGGCTCTTTCATCCCTCTGCGGCGGCTCCTTGTGGCTTTGGAAAATAAATGAGTATTTAATTTTTTATTTTTTTTCAGTTCATTGGTTTTTAAAATGCAATTCGGAATTTGAAGATTATGGTGATCTTGTATCAATAAACAAAACGTTTTTAATTTCTTTTTTGTGGCTCAAAATATGCAACACACTCACTGATGTGCGACACCCGCCGGCACGTGCAGTGTTGCCAACTTGGTGACGTTCTCTCTAAATCTGGCAACTTTCCAAATCCTCGTGGGGACTTTTTTTTTCAAAAATGACTAGTGACAAATCTAGCGACACTTTCTGGTGTTAATCGATATTTTTTTCTGGTGTTTTGGAGACTCTGATGTGAAAACACGTATCGTTCTGCAGTTACTGTTCTCAGCGAGCAGCGGTGCTGCCGTGAGCTCCTCCCATCCCAAATCGCTCACAGGCGGTGAGCAGTCTGGTCAGCAGTCCCAGCTGCAGTCAGCAGGACAAACAGACGCCATTTTTACTTATAATTTAAGTTTGGCTTTCTATTTCATAAATAGGAGGAGGGCTCAAATAGACATTGAGTATTTTATTTGACAGTAACCTTCGACCCAGCGTCTTTTATTTAGGAGTTAGAAACGTTTTTGTTGCATGCAGAAATAAAATTTTGTTTCTCTGTAGTAGTTCATAAATTTTATAAATGCAACAGACTACAGTTTTTTTTTTATACATAGCATTAGCGTAATAACAATATATGGTATCTGTGTTATCTTCATTTTAGATGTCAACAGGATTTTGTGGCTCCTGGTGTTTTCTTTTCTGTGGGAAACGAGTCCAAATGGCTCTTTGAGTATTGAAGGTTGCTGACCCCTGGGCTAGATGAAATCAAAAAATTTAAATTCTGTTTAGGCAGATTTAAAATTTTGACTGTGACAGGTACGTCCCTGTTGATCTACGTGAAATGATTTACACAGTAAAACTGAAAGCTGTAATGTTCTAAGGTTCGCAGGGTTTTTCTTTCCATCAGAAAGTAGAGTTTCAAAGCTGTCTGAAAAATGGCCTCTGTATTTGGTGTTGGCACATGTAAACACTTTGAGGCAACAGTCACATTTTCACAAGGTTACATGTGCTGAAATGAAAAAAATGTAAAAAGGTCGTTTGGCCCTTTTATTGCTTGGAGAGTGGAAGAAGACCAGTTTCATTGTGGACAACACAGCTGAGTTAGGACAGCTAACATGGATGTTCCAGGGTGTAAAGATCAAAGAGTTACCCCTTTTAAATGGAAACTGTTTCAGAAGAGAATATTAGCAAAGTGTCTGGTCGTTGGCAGACTAAATAACAGTGAATCTCAGCAGTGATAGTATCTGTCCCACCATGTTTAATTGATCTCTTTCCGAAACCTCTCCAGCCTAATCACTATCATCACACACCAGTGGTCTGTTGCTGTCTCCTTTTGAGCAGCTGCCAGGGTCCAAGCAGCACATATTAATGACAAAATTACACATTTTGCTGACTGAAGCAAACAGACATTAACATTGTCCTTTAAAATGTCAATGTGCTTGCTTTTTATTTAGTAAACTTTAAAATATATATATATAAAACATAGGAACATAGCATGTGCAGGAGTTAGGTCTCCTTCTACTTGTAAAGAACTTCAATTCATTTGGCCTTAAGTGGCTCGTTACATCTTGTAAAGCATGTCAGGAACTGTAAGCAGGAATCGTTGGATGTTAACGACTCCAGAGCTGCGAAATCTTCTGACTCCTTAAACCCACTCATGAGTTTCTCCAAGTGCTGGTTCCCAAAGTGGAGTTACTAAATGATTTACAAGAAATCAAACAAGATTAAAAAATAATTATAAATGGTACATTTAACCCCAAATTATTACAAAGGGGAAGAAAAACTGAAGAAAAATGTTTGTTGTTGGGGGGTAGGCCTGGTGGTGTGTGTAAATGACTGTCTGCAACCCCTTTGTGAGCTTCAACCAGCTTGAACCAGAACAGGGCGGCTCTGTTGCACCACTATGTTGGAGGTTGTGACCTGAAAAGTCTTGGAAGCCCCTCATCTAAGCAAACTGAGTTCACCTAAATACAGCATGTTGTGTTTTAGCAAGCTGAATGAACAGCGACATTGATTTAAAATGACAATATGCGTGTCAGCATTCCATCTAAAACTTTAGCGAGAACCTCTGACTGATGTGTATGAACATTTACTTTAATGGTCTTTACCCTGTTAAAAGCAAAACACAAATCTTTACCTCGTGCAAAGATTGTTCTGTTTGGCAGCAAATCCTACACTGTACTACATCGAAGCTTTTTTGTTTTTTCCAACTTTCTCGCGTGCATTTCTAACTCAACTTATTAAATTGATGGAGAGTTTTGCATTCTTTAAAAAAACATCCAGACAAACTCATCTGGGTTCAAATGTTCTCTGTTTTTCAAAAAGAGCTCTTGGCTTTTATTCACCGACTCAAATAAAATATCAGTTGAAGGACAATTAGCACAATAGACTCTGTACAAAACTGTAACCACCTCTGACATTTAGCTGACAGCTCTGTGCAGGTAAAGATGAGAGAGGGAAGCAAAGAAAGACAAATATCCAGATTGATAGGTCAAAGTGACGGCATTGAGGCTCGTCTTAGGCTGAGACCTAACAAAGACGAGCAGGAAAAAAAAATGAAATAGATTATGAAGGCAGACATATGAGGCAGATTTTCTTTTTCATTCATTGCAGACGTATTCTTTTTAACACATTGCTATTAGCAACGAGGACACGGTGCAGAAATCCTTGATCTGTCAAAGAGGTGTGTAAAAATGTAACCACAAGAAACTCTCAGATCTCTGCAGTTTATCTTACTAACCCAATACATTTTTGTCTGTTGCAGAGATTCATCTATACCTGCTAAAAAATACTGACTTCCATCAGTAATTTTAAAAAGTTCTGTGAAGAGCTTGTTCAGGCCTCTCATTTCAGCTCATTCAGACAGTTCCTTCAGGTCAGTAGGACATTAGCATTGGGTGTTGCGTATTCCATGCGAATGAGGATCTTTTTGGCGGGAACGATGTCTGCACCGTCGGGCGGAGTCACGTATATGATAATAGATGCGGTCCAGCACCTCAGAACATTTACATTTATAAATGTAGTCTTTTGTTCTGTTTCTGTATCAAGAACAACCTCTAGAAGCTTCAACTTCCTGGGCTGAGTTGAAGCAAAAGGTGTTTGCGTGCTTCCTCTAATCTGTTTTTTTCTTCTGCCATGCAAATTCAGTAAATATGGTTGATGATGTAAACAGAAAAATATGTTCCTAAGATGTCTGTCTTCTCCCTTTCCTCTGCTGCTGTTTTGGAAAATCAAAGGATAATTATGTTCATGTCAGTAAAAGAGGTGGAACTCAAATCAAATTCTTTACAGCTACATTAAAATCGAGGACATGCGGGCGCAGCCAGTGGTCCCTGAGCCCCACCCGAGCCCCATCTCCATCTCATTTGGGGGAACAAAGGTGCTCATTAACCTGCAGTGCACACCCTCTAATGCCCCATTGTTCCATCAGGACTTATATCTAGAGCCATGACCACTTCAGGTCCACTTCACCTCTCTCTGAGGTTGTGACAGGTTGTTACTTCGTGTGGGACTTCAGCAAACAAGATGCAGAGCAGAAGCGAGAAGTTTGGATCTCAGCGGGGTCTGCTCAAAGGGAGCAACACCTACCTGGCCAAGATCGCTCTCGCCCTCCAAAGCGTTCCACGCAGGATGCTCACTTTTTCTCAGGTAAGAAGCAGATGCACATTTACCTAGAAACCTGCAATATGGGGTTTAATTTGTCATTTCTAAATGTCTCATTATGATTTGATGTGTTGCAGCTGATGGACAAGCTGGCGCCACTAATTCGTAAAGACAGAAAAGCTGCTGAGAACAACATCCGAGTCTGTTTGTCGTCCAACAAATGTTTCATCAAGGTAAGTTGTTATATTGAAATATTTGTGCTGTAGGAACTATTTTACTTTGAGGACCAAATGACCTCTGAGTGCATCCAACTAACTCAACTGTGCTGATTTTATTTTTCAGGTTCCAGTGGTGCCAGATGCAGTGGACAGCAAGAGGAACTACTGGAAACTGGACTACGGTCAGATCTCAGCCAAGATGGTGCGTCGTCACTTCAAAGGAATCCTGAATCACTTCCCTGAGTTGGCCTCCAAAGTGAAAACAGAGAAGCAGAGCAGACCATCGCAGCAGCAGCAGCAACAGCAGCAGCAGCAGCAGCAGCAACAGCAGCAACAGCAGCAACAGCAGCAGCAGCAGCAGCAGCAACAGCAACCTGCGGCCTGCAGGGCTGTTCAGGTCAGATGTGAGGTGAAGTTCAGCAGTCCTTTCTCCATCGAATCCCTCCTGAAGACAGACGAGGCTCCCACTGCTCGGGCCTCCACACCTCCTCCTCGGTCCAGCTCCCCAGTCAGAGCCGAGCAGCCGCTCCAGTCTGCTGGGACCAAGAGGAGCCTCAGCCAGGGCTCTGCGGAGCCTCCCCTCCGTCCAACTCCAGCTGGAAGTTCCTCCATCAGCTCAGCAGGAGGCAGCACAAGCCGTGGTGCCGCTGCTGCTGCTGCTGGAGCTGCTGCTGGAGCTGCTGAGCCCATGAGGAGGATGTCTGTGTGCACTGGGCCCTCATTCCCCATCTACACCAGAGCCAGACCTGCTCCTTATTTCAGCAGCCAGCCCAGCAGTTACATCACTTACCCTGTACCAGCATTCACCCGCGATGCTCTCCAGTTCTGGTTGTAAAATGCTCTTTTTATGACATACCAGTATTCTGGAGCACTTTTGTTGGAGCAACAAATATTATTGATTATTGAAGTATTTAGCACTGCGTTAAGAGTTTGTTTATTTTCTTATCATGGTGATGTTGACCATGGGTCACGTGGGTGTAGTTGGTGACAGGTTGAGCTGTCAAAAGGTCAGTCAGGTGGTCGTTTAGCCAGATAGAGGAGGGCTGGTTAGTCGCAGGTTGAACCTACTGTGAAATGCCATGTGAATTACCATTTACATTTAATAAAAAGAGAAAACGTATCAGACTTTGTGCATTATTTCGGAAGCGACAGCACGTCATACAACTAGACAGAACCCATCCTACGTCTTTATATTTTCAATAAAACATCAAAAGAAGTCATTGTGGGTATGCAGTTGTTTTCAGAAAGTAACATACAAACTAATCCAACAGATTAGTTCATTTCTACTCGTACTTACAACCATATAATAATGTTTATAATCCGAAACTGAATTTACATATGATTCATAGCCTGAGCATATTCAAGGATATGAAACAGTATTTCTTATAATTATCAAATCATTTATTTATTTAGTTATTTTCTAATGTTGTCTGTCATCTGGACTAAATGTACCAAACCTGCA